CTTCTTTCAACTCTCTTGCTAGAGCTTCTTTCAGCTCTTTTGCTAGAGCTTCCTTTATCTCCTCTTTGCTAGAGCTCCTTTCAGTTTCTCCTTTTGCTAGAGCTTCTTTCAGCTTCCTTCTTCTGCTAGAGCTTCCTTCTGCTTCCTTTTTTGCTAGAGTTTCTTTCAGCTCCCTTTTTTTTGCTAGAGCTTCATTCAGCTCTCTTGCTCAAGTTTCCTTCAGGTCCCTTTTCCACTAGTTCCTTTCAGCACTCTTTCGCTAAGGCTTCTTTCAGCTCCCTTCTTTTGCTAGAGCTTCTTTCAGTTTGTTTGTTTGTTTGTTTTTTCCCGATAGAGCTTCTTTAAGCTCCCTTTCTTGTAGAGCTTCCTTCAGCTCCCTTTTGCTAGTTTGTTTCAGCTTTCTCAAGTTTCTTTCAGTTCTGTCTCGCTAGCTTTACAGCTCCCTTTTTTGCCAGAGCTCCTTTCAGCTCTTTCACCAGAGCTTCCTTCAGCTCTTTCGCTAGAGCATCCTTCACCTCCCTTCTTTGCTACAACTTCTTCCAGCTCTCTCACTTTCACCTCTCTTTCACTAGAGCTTCCTTCAGCTCCCTTTTCCATTAAAGCTTCTTTTAGCTCTCTTTCCCTAGAGCTCCTTTCAGCTTTCTTGCTAGAGCTTCTTTCATCTCTTTTGCTAGAGCTCCTTTCAGCCTCCTTTTTCACTAGAACTTAATTCAGCTCCCTTTTTCGCTCCAAGGGGACCTTATAGTGGCCTTCCAGTATCTGGAGGGGGCCTTAATGAAAGTTCGTGAAGACTTTTTATAAGGGCACATAGCAACAGGACAAAGGGTAATGGCTTTTACGTGGAAGAGGGTAGATTTAGACTAGACATGAGGGAAGAAATTCTTAGTGTGAATATGGGAAGAGGTTGCAAATGCCTTCTCCCTGGAAATGTTCAAGGTCAGGTTGGTTTGGGCTTTGAGGAACCTGGTCTAGGGGAAGGTGTCCCTGCCTATAGCAGGTAGTTGGAATTAGACGATCTTAAAGGTCCTTTCCAACCCAAACTTTTCTGTGCTGTTCTGCTCAGGAACATGTCTTAGCAGAAGGTTGTTAGTTAGGGTAGCATGGTTAGGTCATGGTTGGACTCAGTGATCTTTAAGGTCCTTTCCAACCTGAGCGATTCTGTTCTATGATTCTGTGGAAATGTATCTTAGCAAAACCTGGGTCCTATTAGCACTGTGTTTGGTAGTGCCACTGTATTCTCTCTCCTCGGTATCTGGCTCCTAATGGTTCTTTTGCTCATTCTAACAATATTGTAATATTGCCATGCTGAACTCAAGCAATCTCTAAAATAATCTGAAGGTATTTTCTATTAAAAAAAAAAAAATTCATTTTCTAAATATGTTTCAGGTTCCGTAACAATGGTAGGGAGAAAAACAGAATGGCTTCCAGAATTTCTTTAAAAATACAATGAAAGGTAATTCAAAATTGTGGCATTTATTCAATGCCATGACTCCAAATACGTCTGCATTTGAAGAGAACTTTCACCAGAAAGGGACAGACAAAACAGCTCCAGCTCTTTTCAATGCAAGAAATGTTAAGCATTGGACTCCACTTTGAAATGGAGTTCACTTATTTAGCAGACCTAAAGAACAAATAAAACATACACACAAAAAAAAGCACAATTCTCTAATAAGGAAGAAGAGCCCAGAGTATGGCACAGTGTTTTGAACACACCCTAACTCCCCAAAACATTAGAAATCCATATCAAATGTAGTATTTTACCTTTTAGGTTTTTTTTGTTTTAAATTTTATTTTTATTTTATTTTTTTTAAATCTAGTATTTTCATAAGTAATTGTAAAGTTCCTCTCCACATTCTCTGCAAGATCCGTGCTAGGCAACCTCTCTCCTGGTTCACATAACCTGTGGAATGCAGATATGATCCTCCTGTAATTAAAGCTCCCTGATGTTGCCATCAGGAATTCTATACAAAGAGCTGGCAGGCAGCATCTCTGCGTTTATCTGATTCCTTAAAATCTCTTATGTAGAGCCAATCACAAGCCATTAGAGGAAAAGGAAGAATACAATTCATTTGAGCTTCTGGGAAGAAAAATATTATGCAGTTCCTTTTAACGCTGATGTTATCTGCAATCTTCCTTATATATCCAACACGTTCTTAAACAAGCTCCCCCAAAAAGAACTCATCAACCATGATAGTGCATTGTGAGGTTTGGCTTACTTCACAAAGAGGCAGACCACATTGCGAATGTTTTGAATACAGACCAAACAAAGTTATTTCTGCCCCGTCAGACTCTATTAATAAAACTGGAAACAGATTTCAGAGATCTCTGTATTTAAAAGATGAAGCCACTGTTTGTTTGCATGGCAGCTGACCTGCATAGCTCACTTGTAACAATCAATCAGAAGCAAGGATTCAGCAAAATGGACAGCCCTTGAGTACAGATGATGGAGAATATTAATTCCAGTAATAACTGAGTATCTGGAGGCTTGCATGTAAAGAGACTAATGTATTATACATCTCACGTCGTTCTGTGAGAAGTTAGAGGGCTTTGAAAGCCTCACAAGTTAGAGCCCATGAAATGTTCACATCAAGAGGGAAAGCAAAGACTGATTTTAGATGTATAATCTTCAAACCAATCCAGACAAACATGAGGGGAAAAACTGAACAACTTAGACTGTAAAACCACTCTAGGAGAGCAAACAAGCTGCATCTGGATTATCTGCATCTGGATTATTTAAACTTCCAGAAGAAAAGTTGCATACGTACCTACTTATCTTGAAATAAAGCAAATTAAGTTTTGCTAAATGAAAACTGAAGATTTCACATATCAAAATTTCTTTCAAAAAGATGCTTTCACTGGTCATCTTGGACCCACAGCTGAGAGACCAGGCCAAATAACATAAGATAAATTTCATTTTAATAGTGAAAGCAACCAGTGGCTTCACATACTTCAGGTTTACAAACATCACCACAAAAAAAAGTACCAAAGTAATGTAAAGTTATACACGTATATGCACCAAGAAGTGCAAATGCAATGCTGCGTGTGGAAACGCTGAGACAGAGACATGGGGAGCAAGCCAGCATGTCCTGGTCAGCTTTGAGCTGCTGCTCCAGGAGGATGCAGACCTTCTGTAGGTCTTGTGGTCTGGCTGCCAGTCCATGCAGATGACTAAAGGTATGACAGCAGATCTGAAATGGTATAAAATCCCCATGTGCTAACATCTGAATTTCACCTAAAGATATGCAACCTGATACGTGACAAACTTCTGACAACACAGTTCAATGTTAAGGTATGTGTGTGAATGATTAAGTCCCTGTTCCACACAGTGAAAGGCCACGGATGTAATAATCACGACTTCAAATACAGCAGGGTACGATCTGTTTGTAAATAGTATGTCTATTCATTACAAACAGTAGAGTTCCCAAGTGGAAAATGACTTGAAACCAAATCACACTGGATATTGTCATCAGGAGCATTTCTAGTTCTGATGCTGAGTTCCAGTTCTTTGGTCAGTCACTTCTCTCTTATGCTAGCTCTGTAAATACTCTGACTTTTCATTCCTTCAGCTTCCACTCCCACAAAGTGGCAATCCGTTAGGTAACTTGGATGCACTCTTTATATATAAAGTTCTGATTTTTAGAAGAAATGGAAATCAGGAAGAACAGTATTCCAAAATACTTCCTCTCTAACTCAGAAACCAACAATCGACTTAAAAACCAATTCTAGAGAACTACATTATGAAAAATGTAATTGCCACAGAACTACTTTTGTAACAGCAAACTGAGATATAAAAGGCACTGCATTTAAACACGTTCCTCCCACAGCTCAGGGCTGTCAGCCTAACACAGGACACTCCAGATACTGAGGGTGTGAAACACTGAAAAGCACAGAAGACAGCAGACTGACCATGAGGGCTCTGCAAAGGGTGCAGTACTTACCTTTAGAGAACATATTTTATTTCATATTAGTTTTTGTTCCAATATACAAAATAGAGGACCGTAGTCCCAATTAACATTTTACATAGTGACACAGCAAATCATTTCCACCATTTACAACAACTGACAACTTTCCCACACTCCCCCCTGTATTATAGTCAAGAAATAATTCCATACTGCTTTACATACCAAACAGTTATCTTTTGCACTTCCCTGCTTCTTTACTTTTTCTAACAAAGTTGCAGTTTCTGATAATAGTTTAATTGAGAAATTACAATTATTTCTGCTGGAAAAAAAAAAAAAAAAAAAAAAAAAGCAAAGTGAAATATGTAATTTGGAATACTATCTCAAAAACCCTACACAAAATAAAAGTCAGTGTCTTACAAAAATAAGTTGCAGAAGTAAAACCAGTGAATAAAACACAAGTGTTTTACATTTTGTTAGGGTATAAAGTATTTAGCAACTAGCCTCAGCTTTGAGCTACGCCACAAAAAAAGAAGGACCAAACATTTATCAATTAGTAAAAAAGAAACACGACAGTTCTTTAGTTCTTTTACAATACTGTACCTTTAGTATGCAAAGGACTTCATCCTTTAATGTGCAGCATTAATCAACTGCCTCACCCGTTAGCCCTTTTCCCACAGAAAGCTGAAAAAAGGTTTTAAAACTATTTTAATTCCTTAAGAAAAATCCAATCGTATTTTCTGCATCCCCCACAATATTGAAGCTTTACTTTGCAATGCTGGTTCTTGGACAGTTTGATCACTATAAATGATTTTATATAAAAGTGTTCTAGCCTAACCAGGGCTTTAGAAACTTTGCGTTTTACAAAAGCAGTTTGTTACAGTATGACAGTTGCTAAATAGCCCAATTTATTCAGTGACCCTGTTAAAGATTAGTTCAACTGAGCGAATAGGTGAAGTCATTTCCTGAGCTAAAAGATACAGGTAAGTAAATAGTTATAGCAGCAGACAGGAGACATTCTTTTTAAAGTTTGCAACAGTATCAATAAAATGACCTTAGAAAACTACAATAAGGTAGAAATCACTAGCTGAAGAAGGGAGACAAGGACATCCGAAACTTGATTGCCATCATCAGGAATGAATATCCCCCGACTTTCCAGAAGTTACATTCAGCTACTGACAGACAAAGTACTGTTAAGAGGAAGAATGTCGAATCACAGTAGTTCACATTTATTACAGATCAGGTGTTTTGTCAAGATTTAATTCTTAATGCTATTTCATAAACCTAAAGTGAAGTATAAGCAGTTGGTTTCAGAATTTTTCACCCTAGGGGTGAAAAATCCTCTTCTTTATACTACTTTTAAAGGAATTTGTAGTATATCTCCAGTCTCATGAAATTCTAAGCCTATTTCTTTTTATTGCTTAGACACAATTTGTACTTGAGACGTTGAGTGGTTTTTGAAACAGTCACCCACGTGACCAACATAAGTAACATAAGTGGATCCATTTTTAGGAGAGGGAATGATATTCTGAGAATGGTTCCAAACTGCTTAGAGCACAAGACATTAACAAACAACTGAAAAACTATCAAGACTGGTATACCACCACCGCACCACCTTTTTCTTGTGATATGCATTCATTAAAGTCTTCTATGTATTATTTTGATCACTTTTTACACATTAATGGAAAGATAATATTCTGATTTAATAAACGTACCCCACTTAGATACCAGTTCCTCCAGAAGGAAATCTCTCTATGTTACTCATTTTTAAAGACATTGCAGGCATTGCTTTTAGACTTTATATCAGCTTTTTTTTTTCTTTAAACATTTAAACATAATTAGTTTTAATTCAAATTAATATATAAAATCCCCAATACCAGCTAGAATAAAGGAGATTCTAAGTAACAAGATCCTAAGTAACAATAATTTATAAATAAACATATACTATTACAAACCAAACCTTTCCCCATACGGAGACTAAAAGCCATAATCTTGACTGATTGTTCCCGATCATACATTATAAATAACGTAAGCTTCTTCAGAGAAGCAAAACATAATTTGCCTCCCTGACACCAGTTTGTATCTTCGGTTAAACTACTACTATCAAGAAGGCAATTGGGCCCAGATATATCTTTTTGCTTACACAGTAACGTTCCAGCCTCGTTCTTTCAAAATTAAGCACAGGAAATTCAGTTTACATAGAGTCCTTTACCTCTTACATATGAAGTCTATATAAAATAGAGATCTCTAATGCTCCTATTGCACCAATCTGGCAGTGCTGCTAGAATCTGATTCAAATTCCACTGAATTCCATGAAAGGTTTTCCAGTGACCTTAATAGGCTTTGAATTAGGACCAGTATTTGGAGACAGTACATCCTAACAGAAAGCTCCTGCAAGAGTGGCTGGTATCTCTTTTTTGCTTATGAGATGCAGTGGAGATGTGCAGTCAGCATGATACCTGAGCAAATAAAATGAAAATGATACAAAGGTCTTAAAAATCCCAAGTTCTTTGCTTAGCTGTGTGCAAACTGTGCTACTGCCCCTGGAGCTTCCAGCTTCCTTTCTTGCAGTGCTTGCTCCAATCCAAGATAGAGAAGATGCGAGGCGTAACAATCTCTCTTCACTGTAACTCCCCCTCAATCCCGAGACTGATAGAAGAGGATGTAACCAGACTCAGAGTTCTTTGAGATGTCTGACGTCAACCCGTAGAATTCTTCAATCGCTTGCGCATCAATTTTCTGTATGTAAAATACCAAACCCTTAATGTAAGAACATCTTGCATAACATACATCACATTAAGTTCCACTCTAGAAACTATTTTCAAAGAACTTCCACGTACTAGATACAGTTCTGAAATCCAAATAACTCTTACAATTCATTAAAGTTTAGTTTCCTATCTGTCATCAGCTGCACAGATGGTAGCAGATACACAGGTTATGCACATATGCGTGTTCACTTTTAAGGATTAGGTGAACCTATGAACGCAACCAGAGGTGCACTGCTTGCACAGGTTTCACATGGAATAATTTAAAAAATAACAATATTGTGCTGAGATGTTTAATTCACTATCTAGAATGTATGTACAACTTATCATTTTTAACCCTAAACACTGGAAGCTGATCAACTGCAGATGAGAAAAATCAGAGCTCAGAGAATGAAGGTTAACTTTTTCCTCAGTTCTTCATTCAATTTTTGTGGAAAGATTTTAAATATCTGTAAAGTGCAAAGAGTATATGCTGATTTTCATCACCTTAGCATATGAAACAAACTAAAAGCAAGCTATCTTGACGTTCTATGCCAAGGGCAATTAGGCTACAAACAACAAAAAGGCTGAAAGGTAAATCTTCCTTCACTTAGACTTTATTTAACCTCATTTCCATTGTAAGAATGGGAATCTTTCTCAGGAAGGAGCAAGTTATTCCAACTTGTCATGGGAATAACAGACAGCAAGATGGTTAAGATCTGGGAAGAGAAAAGAAAAGATTCTTTCCTTCCTCCTTAGAAGGGCTCAGAGGGAAAAAATAAAGGAAAAAAACACAAGAAATTCCAGGTGTTACTGCTCTGGAATTGGAAAGACTGCACTTTGTGAAATTATATGAGATCTACCACAGCAGCTTCTTTTTTCCCTGGAGGAAAGTGAACTTTTGACCTTATCAAGGTATTTCAATTTACAGTGCATCTTGATAAGACATACAAGCAATCCTTTTTAACTTTCCCCAGCAACCCTGCATATTTCCATGTTTGGCATTTACTATGTGAAAAACAATCCATAATGTGGCTTGGTGATAAGAAATTCTTACTACCCTTGACTTGCTCTGCCAATTAACACTGTAAGTCTAATACCTGTCTCGCTCATTTTCCTTGTTTTTAATTATGCAGTTTTGTATATTGTAAGGAAGAATGAAAATTATTCATTGTACAGGCTTAATTAAATTTAATAAAGGATTTGGACAGCATAATCATACTTCTGTTGCTGCGTAAGCAAGGACAAAGTGGAGAAAAAGATGACAGAACAAGCAAAAAGCAGAAACAATCTAAAACAGTGACTGTTCTTTCCCTCAGTAAAGAATAAAAGGTAACTGACAAAAAAAAAGCTGACAATGTCAAGACTGTTGAAGAAAATGGACAGTGATAGGATAAGGGGGAATGGTTTTAAACTGAGACAGGGGAGGCTCAGGTTAGATATTAGGAGGAAGTTTTTCACACACACTGGAACAGGTTGCCCAAGGAGGCTGTGGATGCTCCATCCCTGGAGGCATTCAAGGCCAGGCTGGATGTGGCTCTGGGCAGCCTGGTCTGGTGGTTGGTGACCCTGCACATAGCTGGGGGTTGAAACCAGATGATCTTTGAGGTCCTTTTCAATCCAGGCCATTCTATGATTCTATGATTAGTTAAAAGCTATTTATTTATTTATTAACTTGTTAGGAATTCTTGAATTCCTAGAAGCATGGCTAACATTAGCAACAATATCATAAGCAAAAGATTTTTCAAGGATTATCTTCTAGATTTTACATTGCAATCTGACAGGTTTCAGTTTACTTTGACTCTTGTTCCATTTTTTTCTGAAACCATCTAGGTCACTCCATCTAACACTACCAGACTGATGCAGCCCAATAGATCAGACATTGAATATATGTACTCATACTATGAATAAACATCTTGTGCCAAGAAATTGTATACTCTCATAATGGTAAAATCAGTTCACCTGTGCACTATTTGCCACATACTCTGGCCAAAGGAACAGCTTACCAAATGAAGGTGAAAGACACTGGCAATAAATAAGTTTATTTTAAGAAGTTATAAAAAGTGAAACAATTCAAATTGTTGTACAGTCAAATTGTAAAGTGTAGCTCCACACTCACAGTTCTTTCTCATTTGGAATGGGCATTAGCATGATAATGTCTTCTATGTCATCGAGCAGCAAACAGGCGTGCAAGTGCTCTGATAAGTATGTGAAAAAAATCCAGGGTTACACAAAGCTTACCTCAACAATATCATCATCAAAAAGCAACCAAAAATCGTGACTCTTCACTATTGCAATATAATGTCCTCTGTTAGGGCCACTGTAAAATACAATTAAAGAAGAATTCAGATCACAACACACACAAATGTACAAATATATTTCACTAAAGCGTGTGGCTTTTTTTCCTTGTAGTAAGTAGCATTTAACACTAATTAAATGGGCTACCATATAATTTCTGTTTGGATGTTTCTTTTCCTTTTTTCCACCAACTCAAACAGTTTTCTCAGCAACACCTTACATACCTATGTTTTATACATAAAATTAAGGACTATGCAGCCCAGGCATGAAGACATAAATGAAGGGAAATAAAATAGAAATAGAGATGTGAAATAAATAAATTATTCTAATGCTTCATAATGATTGAATAAATCCCAAAGAATTTCACAATCTTCATAAAGAAAAACACATAGTTCAACTACAGTCTCAATATGATATCTCTTTATCTGTTTGAATGTTAAGGAAAAAATAAAGAAAAAAACAACTAAGTTAAACTAATAATTTGGGAGATTGAAAAATCCTTACAGCAATGAAAGGGTTTCCAATTTAAACTGAAACAGCTATAGTTATATAATTAAAATAATATAATTATATTACAACTATATTATATATTAGAGGGGGCCTATATATTAAGGGGGCCTGTGAGAGCTGGTCAACATTTAAACAGCTCTTCTTCAGGATCAGTGTGTCCCTGTGAGCAAGAAAACAGGAAAGGGTGGCAGGAGACCTGTGTGGATGAGCAAGGATGAGCATGCACAAACTCAAAGGGAAGAAGAAGGTCCATGCAATGGGAAAAAGGGTCTGACTACTTGGGAAGAGTATAGAAATGTTGTCAGGGTCTGCAGGGATGAAACGAGGAAGGCTAAAGCCCACCTGGAACTGAATCTGGCAAAGGTGATAAAGGATAATAAAAAAGGCTTCTTTAAGTATGTTAACAGTAAAAGAAAGACTAGGGAGAATGTAGCTCCCCTACCAAGTGAGAGGGGTGTTCTGGTAACAGGGGATGCTGAGAAGGCGGAGATACTGAATGCCTTCTTTGCTTCTGTCTTCAGTGAAAAAACTCTCCCTCAGGAATCCCAGACCCTGGAGGTTAGTGAGAGGATCTGGGGAATGGAAGTCTTCCCTCTAGTCACGGAAGAGGTGGTCTGAGAGCACCTAGGCAACATCAGTGTACCCGATGGGATGCATCCACGGGTGCTGAGGGAGCTGGCAGAGGTGATTGCTGAATTGCTCTCTGTCACCTCTGAGAGATCTTGGAGAATGGGGGATGTGCCTGAAGACTGGAGGTTAGCCAATGTCACTCTGGTCTTCAAAAAGGGCAAGAAGGAAGATCCAGGTAATTACAGGCCAGTCAGCCTCACCTCTGTCCCTGGAAAGGTGATGGAACAGCTGGTGCTGGATGCCATCTCCAGACAACTGGAAGAAAAGAAAGTTATCGGGGTAGTCAGCAAGGGTTCACCAGGGGGAGGTCGTGCTTGACCAACCTGGTAGCCTGCTATGATGTTGTCTCTGGCTGGGTGGATGGGGGGAGAGCAGTGGATGTAGTCTACCTTGATTTCAGCAAGGCATTTGATGCTGTCCCCCACGACATCCTTATAAGAAAGCTGAGGAAGTGTGGGATAGATGAGTGGACAGTGAGGTAGGTTGAGAACTGGCTGACTGGCCGAGCGCAGAGCGTCGTCGTCAGTGGTGCAGAGTCTGCTTGGAGACCTGTAACCAGAAGAGTTCCTCAGGGGTCTGTGCTGGGTCTGGTCTTGTTCAACATCTTCATCAATGACCTTGATGAGGGGATAGTGGCCACCCTCAGCAAGTTTGCTGATGATACGAAGTTGGGAGGATTGGCTGACACGCCTGAAGGCTGTGCTGCAATTCAGCGAGACCTGGACAGGCTGGAGAGCTGGGCAGAAAAAAACCGGATGAGGTTTAACAAAAGCAAGTGTAGAGTCTTGCATCTGGGGAGGAATAATTCCATGCACCAGTACAGGTTGGGGGATGACCTGCTGGAGAGGAGCTCTGCAGAGAGGGACCTGGGTGTCCTGGTGGACGACAGGTTGGCCATGAGCCAGCAGTGTGCCCTTGTGGCCAAGAGGGCCAATGGCATCCTGGGGTGCATTAAACAGAGCGTGGCCAGCAGGTTGAGGGAGGTGATCCTCCCCCTCTACTCTGCCCTGGTAAGGCCTCATCTGGAGTACTGCGTCCAGTTCTGGGCTCCCCAGTACAAAAAAGACAGGGATCTCTTGGAAAGACTCCAGCGGAGGGCCACAAAGATGGTGAAGGGCCTGGAGCATCTCTCCTATGAGGAAAGGCTGAGTGAACTGGGTCTGTTCACCCTTGAGAAAATTAGACTGAAAGGGAACTTTATCCAGGTCTATAAATACCTAAGGTGTGGAGGACAGAGTGGCAAAGCTAGACTCTTTTCAGCAGTGTGTGGAGACAGGACAAGGGGAAATGGCCAGAAACTGCAGCACAGGCAGTTCCGCACAAATGTGCGCAAGAACTTCTTTACAGTGAGGTGACGGAGCACTGGAACAGGCTGCCCAGGGAGGTGGTGGAGTCTCCTTCTCTGGAGATGTTCAAGACCTGCCTGGATGCCTACCTGTGCGACCTGCTGTAGGGAACCTGCTTTGGCAGGGGGGTTGGACTCGATGATCTCTGGAGGTCCCTTCCAACCCCTACGATTCTGTGAACTCTGTGATAATGCACTGCTCTTCAGTTTAGGGCAGACAAGAAAATTCTCCATAACTGCAACATGAACAAAGAACTCTAAGAGCACCCTGATTGTTAAGCAGATTTCAGATAAGGAAATGATGCACTTACCTGAACCACGCAATTGAAAGTGAACAAGTATTTAATGCAGCTCTGGAACTGCCTTAACCTGTTAACAACACTCAAAGAATTTGTAGGTCTGGATTAGGGAGAATCTGTTATTAGAGTTATATGATATGGGATACGTTTCATTTTTCTTTTGATATAGTTAGGCTCACATAAATACTCATATGAATACACTGTTACTACTTTCCAAAGTGAACTGTGGTGGCAACAAGGCCATGTATTCTGTCTGGATTAGTAGCACCTCCTCACAATGCTTTCTTTTCTAAGAAATTTTTAAGAGATCTTTAAATGCTATTAGCTATGTGATTTTGTGTGTTTCTTTCTTTCTTTTTTTTTCTTCATTAAAAAAAATAGAAAACACTTCAGCTTTTATACAAAAATCTCCTACAAAATATACTGTTATTACCTTCCACAATGAACTACCACAGCAACGAGGTCATACATTCTGTCAGGATTGGTGGCATCTCCTGAGGTGTTAAATAAACGAAGCTCTAAAGGAAAAACTACTCTGTAAGAGAGTTTTGTGTATCTGTGCAGCTGATCCATATATTTAAATCTCTTCAAATGGAGAGCCAGAATCATAGGCAGTTTTTTTACTTTCATCCTGAAAAAACAAGCAAACAAAAACCAATATTTCCAGTATTGAGGCAAACAATTCTGCTGATATTAACAAACAAGTAACTTACACAGTTAAGTCTTTAAAAAAATGTTGCAAGTATTAATAAGGTGCTCAAATCATCACCATCCATGTAACAAATACTGAATTTGTCCTGCACTGCTAAACTAAAACTGGAGTTGTATTAGAGGGGCAGTGCTTGGAGAGCTAGAGCCTGTGGGAAGCCCATGTGGGATCAGTTTGGGAAGAATGACATCCATGGGAGGAGGAGCATGCATGGAGCAGGGCAGAGAGTGACCACAGTGGAGCAGCACAGACTGACATTATGGACTGACCTCAGCCCCATGCTGCCCTGGGGGAAGGAGGTAGGAGAGGGTGGATAGGGGAAAGTGTTTGTAGCTTGGCTTTAGTTTCTCACTGCTCTCGTCCGTGTGCAATTGTGTTAGCAGTAAGCAATAAATTACACCAATATTCCTTGTGCTGAGTGCCTTTTGCCTGATCTCCCTTATCTCTACCATGAAATTATTCAACATATTTCCCCCCCGTGTCCCGAGGAAAAGGAACAGGAGCACAACGTGGTGGAGTTTAGCTACCTATCAGAGTTAAACAAACACAGAGAATTTTAGACATACCTCCCTATAGCTTTCCTGAGTTTCCTAAAGCAAACCTAAACACCACTTAGTATACAGTGGAGATACTGCAACAAAGTTGTTCCAAAGATTCTGTTACAGTTCAATTTCCCATTAAACCAGTCAAGTCAAACAAGCGTTTTAGAAAAGGCAGTACTACTTTGTCACATTTATACTACTTCAAGTTTTCACATCAAGCCCTTCATTTAACACTACCAAGAGATACAGACAGCACACTGTTATTCCCCACACCTTATGCTGCCAAGACAAGATAATGCTAAGCTCTAGCACAGTAATTTTGTACAAACATTGCAGCATTATTTTATTGAAGTCAAAGCCTGAAAGTGATAACCTAATTTTATTGATGGCTTGCTGGCCCCTTTCCCTTAGTTTGAGGGAGTGAAATTTTGCATCAGTGCCTACAAATTCACATCAGTAAACCATAGCTGACATGGCAACAGAGACTTAAATTCTCTGGGAGATAAATTTGCCCGCACGTAATTTTATCAAACTGCCTTGAGCCATCAAAGTAGCTCCAAAGTGTCAACAGTACAGCCCAATGAAGGTTTCAGATGCGTCTACTAAGACTGCATTTTTGCAATGTCAGTAAATATGTTTGTACAGCATAATTCTTTTTCAAGAGATAAGGGACTGTGGACAAAATCCTTCCTTCCCTTTTTCTCATTAAAAACAGACTTGATAGTAGCTGTGGAAACCCTGCTAGACTCAATTTTTCTCCTTTGTCTGCAAGGAAACTAGGAAATGAAAAATGCTGGAGAAAGGCTGACAGATGGCAGAAGCACAGTTACTTTTTATTACTGATATATGGATATAATTTCTGCTCTGATTCTTTTTGCAAAATTAAAGTCCTCTTTTAATAAAAGAACTGTGTTTGATAGTAGGAGCTTTTTCAACAGAGAAGAAAGTCACCTTTGCTAGTTGAGAAGACACTATGATGGATAAACATTATGCTATAGAGATGGAAGAAAATTGTGACTGCAGTAAAACCAGTCACATTGAAAACAAGAAAAGGCTGTGTTTTGCCAGTATGTCCATGCCTACAGTGCAGGCTTATGTCAACACAACTTATTAATGGTTAGGGATCATGTTACCTCCCACAAAGAAAAAGAGCTAGGGCAACAGAAAACAACAGGACAGACCTTAGTTCGCAACCACCCTCGTACACCTCAATTAGTAAGCTTAAGCAACATATGAATGCAGACTTTGCAAATGAAACATGCCAAAAGCCACATGTTAAATCTATGGTAAACTCACAAACAAGAACCGGTGGTATAACCAGTACAGCATGTCCCCAGCTCCATGTTCCTATCCCTTCAACTCATCTATGCACAGACAAATCCTTTCTCAGATTAAAAAAAAAATACAGCACAGTACATAGAATCAAGAGGTTTTTTTCAAAGATGTAAACAAGACTAAATTAAATATTAGACAGACAAGAAATATTTTACACAAATGAACTCCAGATTTCCACGGAACTTCCAATGCTTTCCATGAGCACTGCCATACAGATGTTTACCACAGCTAATTAAAAACTCAGAAAGTAATGTTACAAGCGTAAGACCTTTCACCAATTCAGTCAGAATTATCAAACCGTTTCTTGCAGCAACGGTAAAAATGATTTAGTTATTCAGAGGAACAGAAATGCAAAGAGTCCCATAAAAAATCAGTGAAATTTCATCATTATCAGCAATTCTTCCTTCATCACTCATAGCCCAACTTCTCTTTTTATCTTATTTTTGGCCTTAAGAATATTACTTTTAGAATGAGAAAAATAAATAATGATCAAAGGCCTCCCAGAACACTCTCGATAGATTCTCATTACTTACAAAAGGAGGCTCACTGAACTGAAGTAAGAGAAACATAACCAACTGACACTTTAGAGGAAGAAGAGTGAGAACATTTCGGAGAGAAAGCACTTTCTCCTCCTGCCTCATACACACACAGACACACGCAGAAACACGAGTATTTTCATGAAAATACTTGCATTGTTCTTCCTTCTGATCTAACCTACCTTTTATGTGCTTCTTGCTTACTGCGGCATTCTTCACAGTAATACTTGTATTCACTGCACAGAGTTTCTGTATTGCTGAAACCCCTGAAAGAAAAAAAAAAACATTATAGAGATACTAGCTTCTTACCTAAAATATATGTATAAACGTATGCAAAAAAGCCCCATCATTTTAGTAAGCTTACACAAACTAAAATTTGCTAAGTCAAATGTCCATGAGCTTTTAATTTTACTTCCTTCTTTCAAGGTCAAAAAAAGACAGGTAAAATATAGTTCAGATTTTTGCATCTACCTTAAGCAATGAGTAATTGAAGTATTTTGTTCTACATCAACAGAAAGATCTAAGAAGTCTTCATCTTTGCTGCTTATCTGCAGGGAAAAAAAAATAGAGCAGATTAAAACCTGTTAAACTCATTCAACTCTTTACCAGTTTCACTCCTGACAGAATATATCTTCTACCTTATAATGGTTTCCCAAAACTTGTTACAAGTGAAATGTCTTAGCATGACAGACACTTGCAAGATCTCTGTTTCTAATTTTGTTCAGAAAGAGGGAAATGTACATGTGCCCAAGGAAGTAGAATCATTTAATTGTTCATGCTGGAAAAGACCTTAAAGACCACCAAGTCCAACCACAACCTAACCATCCTACCCTAATTCTAACAACCCTCTGCTAAATCATGTCCCAGAGCACCACAACGGTTTTTAAATACATCCAGGGATGGTGACTCAACCACCTCCCTGGGCAGCCTATGCCAGTGCTTCACAACCCTTTCTGTAAAGAAGTGTTTCCTGATATCCAACCTAAACCTCCCCTGATTTAGGCAGGCCAGAAGAGGCCATTTCCCCTCGTCCTGTCACCTGTCACCAGTGAGAAGAGACCAACCCCGTTTTCTCTGTAAGCATCTTTCAGGCATTGGAAGGGAGCAATAAGGTCTCCCTTCAGCTTCCTCTACCCCAGACTAAATGTAAATGTAATCAAAGAAGAAATTTCATCACAAATCCTGAAAAATGGTGATGGATGAAATCCATAGTGGTCCTGATAATCAGCAACGTTATTAAAACATTCATGAAATAGCTAGTGCCTCTCCTTTAGCATCTGGTAGTCTTTCCCTTTTGTACCTTGAGATATTCAGTGTTGCTGGTGAGAATGTCTACTGCCTTTTATGACTCCTACATACAAAGGTGAATGTTTTCAGAAAACATGCCTGGTTGCAGTACTGAAAACTTGTTCTCTGACTCAAGAGACGAGAAGGGCACAGTTGCTAAGGGCAGCATACATGAAGAACAAAAACACAGCTGGTCAAGACAACTACTGAGAACTAACATAACTGGCGAAACAAAATGGAGTTGAGTTAGAATCTTCTGCTAATATCTGTGAGAGGACTGGGGAAAAATTCCTCCCACTCTTCTATAGACAAATTTCCAAGAATAAGTGCACACACAGAAAATGGATTGCTACACCAGTATGCATCAGGTCTATAATATAATTTAAATGTTTAAGTTTAGACTTCCAGAAATTTTTCAAGATGCTTTTTGGATGGGAAAAGAAGCCTCCCGCATCTTCAGCGGGTTGTGTGTTTCCCATCTCCAGGGAAGTACTACAGTTTAGGAGCATGGAGATGAGCCATGTTTCAAAATAACCCACTGCAAACATCACTTTCAGAACTACCAAACTTGAGAGTGGTAGGCAAAGGAGTCTAGTGGAAATCCTAGGGGAAGGGGACACAACTAGGGCAGCTGACCTCAACGGGCCAGAAGAATATTCCATACCATAAGACACCATGTGAAAAAAAAGCTACAAAACTGAGGAGGGGGGATTAGCCAGAGGGTTGCAGTTTCTGCTTGAGGACTGGCTGGCTATCAGTCAGCAGGTGAGCAATCGTGTGTGTGTGTATATACACAAATATACACATACATATGTAACATTATTATTATTTCTCGCCTCCTTCTCTTTTTCAGTAAGTAGGTTTTATTTCATACCACAAATTCCACTCTCTCCCCCTCCGCCCCCCTTCCTCACACCCCACTTCTCCCCCTTTTCCCACTGGCAAAGGCAGGAGAAAATGAAAGTCAGCACAACAACTGGCTGTTGTGCATTTCAGATCATGAAAAGCCATTCTATGGTTTATCAAGTGCATTTTTTCCATCTATATTCATAGTTCAGAAATTGCTATTCTTTGTTTTTAAGTTTTTTCAGCCACCAGTATCTGAACTGCCAATTTACTCACATAGTTTTACCAAAAAAAAATTAAAATTAACCTCCAATTCTAACCATGCCCCCTTTCTCTCCAGAGGTTCTATTTCCAATAAACATTACTATTTTCTTATAAATCATGTATTTATTTCCAGTAAACATCAAATCCTCAGACTAAAGTAATCTTATCTTCTATGCTACGTATTCCAACTATATACAGGATGTAAAATGAAGATGGACATGGTCAGAAAACCTCATCATTTGCAGAATGAAGTCCCAGTCTATTGAAAAACCCTCATGAGTTCTCCTAACACAATATATGCAGCTGAATAGTGATGTAGAATTCAGGCATTCCAACAATCTATACCTGGAGTTCCAACATATCTGCAATACTGCATTCAGGCCTGGGGCTCCAAGCACAAGAAAGATCCAGAACTGTTGGAATGGGTCCAGAGGAGGGCCACTAAGATGTTCAGAGGGCTGGAGCACTTCTCCTATGAGGAAAGGTTGAGGGAACTGGGCTTGTTTAACTGGGAGAAGAGAAGGCTCCAATGAAACCTCACTGTGGCCTTCCAGTATTTGAAGGGAGCGTATAAACAGGAGGCGGAACAGCTATTTACGAGGGTGATAGTGATAGGATAAGGGGGAATGGTTTTAAACTGAGACAGGGGAGGTTTAGGTTAGATACTAGGAGGAAGTTTTTCCACACAGAGGGTGGTGACGCACTGGAACAGGTTGCCCAAGGAGGCTGTGGATGCCCCATCCCTGGAGGCATTCAAGACCAGGCTGGATGTGGCTCTGGGCAGCCTGGTCTGGTGGTTGGTGACCCTGCACATAGCAGGGGGTTGAAACTAGATGACGTTTGAGGTCCTTTTCAACACAGGCCATTCTATGATTCTAGTTAAAGGGACCAAGCCTTGTTCTCACATCCTGGATGTAATTTTGCACAGATTGCTCACCTGTAGCCTGATGGCCAGTGCCACAGACAAAACTCAGAATGCTACCACAAAAAAAAGTATTACTTTTGGTTTGGAATTTCACTTAGCAATATGCATTACCTCACGCACAAAAAAGACTTTTGCAGTTGTAGACTCCCATATATGCTAAGATAGAAACTATTTTTCAGTGAAGCTGAAAGGAAGGGCATGATTTATTGAGAGAGAAGAAGAGAGAGCAGGACATAGATAAGTCTCCATACTGCTCCTGTAAGAGAGACCATGAGATTTTCCTTAATGTTACCCCTCAGTCTGAAGTATAACAACTTTCTATCATGGAGAGTTACATGAAAATGAGAATAAAACCAACTGCTGAAAAAGAAAACCATCATCATTTTGACCCAATGTTTTTGGGCCAAGACTGTTTCCCCTTTGTTAGTAACATTATTTTCTGGTTCTCTGATACAACTTCCTGAAATTTTGAGGAGAACACCATAAAAAATCAATGAACTTCTACATATTTTTTTCCCATCAACTACCCACAATAAAAAGGTAATATGCACTCCGTCATATTTCATATCTTTACCACAGAAGGGGAAGGAATCATAACAGGATATCACCTCTAGAGAACATAAAGACAATTTACAATCAGATTTCTAACTTGTTTAGTGTAACTTGATCCAAGACAAATCAGTTGGTTTTTTTTTTTTTATATTCCACTATATTCCATGTTTAAACTGAGGATAAATTTCTAGAATAGCCAGTTAAATAAAAGGGCTAATGAGTCCGTGCATCCTGGAAAGAAACTCTTTTCTATAATCAGGACAACCAAAATTACAATGAATTCTTGCTCTGTCAGTTTTTAGAAAGATTGCACTGTTTTGAATGGTTAGAAGATGATCATTCCTATTTGGAAGTAAAATAGAAAAACAAAACATATCTCAGTTTGCATTAAATTGCACATTTAAGTAAAAAACCAACAAAAACTAAGGTTATTATCTTATCATTAAGAAGCACTAACTCACTTCTTGTTGCATAACCTGCTGTATAGCATTTTAAGTTACACTTTGAAATCTAACCGCCAACACCTTCAATAAGCATTAAAGAGTCATTTGTGTTCACTGTGTTTATTCACACTGGTATTACATACTTGCTATGTCTAAGTGTGTTTCTTTCTAAGTGCCTATTTTCAGTTCACTGTGTTTTAATCAGACAGAAGCTGATATGCTTAGTAGATTATTATTCCAGATTATTAGGGCTAGGAATACAGAAGAAAATTTATGATATTCTGATATTCTTCTTCTTGTGATATTCTTTAAAATTCAACTAGCCAGCTTTGAGCAGATGTGGCATATCCCATTCAGCAACAGCTAACAGAAAAACAGAACCAAGCAATATTAGGAAGGCTCAGAATTGTGATAGGTCCAGTAACTAACAAAATAATGCTGGCAAAGAATTCTTCAGCATTTTTAGAGTGTGTTAAGACTGCACGTAGATCAAAATCCTGACAGCAATAATTCATGATGCCACAGTGAGGAATGGTAATGACATCAGTCCTATTAAGAGACTAAACTAAAGACATATTTTATGATAAGTAAATAGAAAAAAATCAGTACAAGAACTAAAGAAAAGTAATTTGCAGTTGCCATGAAGTAATAACTAGGGAGCATAAACCAGAAATAAAAGGTGGTAGGCAGAAATCAGCACTTAAATTACTCAAAATATCAGGATCTATTGAAGTCTGCAGTTGCATTACATATCACATTAGGAAACTTTTTTTTGTTGATTTTTTTTTCCCCACATCAGAAAGATGATATTTCCAGAAGACAGAAAAAATACAAGTATATAGTTTTCGTCTGACTAATTCCTCCTTTCCATTGCTGAAATATGTGCATTATGTAATTAAGGCAAATAGGTATAGAGAGTCACACAAAAAATATAGTCATTTAGCTTTTTACAATATCTAAGGGCACAGACCATGAGAGAATTACTGTAATTTTCATATTGTGCTGCTTTTTCTGAAGCAGGCAAAATTCAATTATAAGTTTTTCTCCAGAATAGCTTATTTCTTCTACTGTAGAACTATTCTCCAAGAAAATTTTAGCACAGCTCACTTAAAAAAGAAGCTTATTTCTCATGGTCCAGTAAGAAAAGAATTTCTGTAGACAGACATTTAAGAGGAAACAACAGTGCTATGATTTCAATGGATTTAAATTTCACAACTAGAAGTCTATGGAAACTGATTCAGAATGTTTATTTCTGGAATGCACGACTAAATATGACATTAAGTCTTTAAGACATCACTTTGGAGAAAAACTCCCCAGCCCTGTGCAGCAGGCTTCACTGCTCCTACAAATACATCAACTTAGACTTCTCTAATCTCAATTTTGAAGTTATGACTACACAAACAAAATTCAACTGGGATTTTCCTAATAATGATCAATACCTTTTTTTATACAAATCATGCACCTGCTGCTGGAAATTTCTCAGTGGCAAATTAAAAACAAAACCATTCATACAGATGTAAGATATCTGAGGAAAGAAATGAATCTAATCTACCAGTCTGTTGAGACAAATGAATCATGCAACGAAGTTCTGTAATGTGAAGAATTTGCTTTATGAAGGAAATACGGACTTACAGTTTCACACGTAAGACATCTGGTTTCATTTGTTAACGTTCCCTGAAAGATTTCATGAACCCACGTTGGGTCTGGTGGGCTGTTATTTTCATTATCAATATTGCCATTGGGTAAGCGACCATTTTGCTTCTCTTGTTTTCTTTCCTCTTGCAAGATATCCGCAATTGTATTTAACAGGTAGTTTAAGAACTCGTGTGCATCCTGCTGCATGTAGTTATCAAAAAGCTCTGTAAGATTAAAAAAAAAAAAAAAAAGAAACAGGATATTTTAAAAATGAATTGGTTAGTGCTATACTATAAACAAGTTTTTTTAGAAAAGGAAAATTTCAGAATTAGTCTTTGTTTCGGGTTTGAATCATCTGTGATTTGTGTAAAAGCACCACCAAAATCAGGACTTCATTTATTAAGCCAACAATTCTCAGGGGTGGAGAAAGACATAGCTTACATTCTTGTAAATAGCTGATGAGAATTACCAGAAAAGTAAGCCATTCTGCAAGAAAACTTGGCCATTACTCTGCTTCTGAAACACTGGTGCACATACAGTGCTGCCCGAAATTTTATAGCTTGTTTTGGACCATACTCCAGAAGTCAGTCCATAAGGATTTGGATCTCCAACAGGGGTATTCTACTTCTGACAAGCTTAGACCAATGTCTTGGATAACAAAGGGCATTTCAAATGGCATTAGACGTTGATATTTTCACAAATGAACTTGGAACAGGAAATATTTCAGTGGTTTATATATTCTATCGCATAATTAACACAAACTACAAGCAAAGGAATGATTTGAACATTTCTGTTTCTGGATAATATATAATGTATAATAAAAGTATGCACAAACAGTTGTTTGTTGACATTTCTAAGCATAGTTGTCATAGGATTCACTCAGCTGACAGCAAATAGTATCACTGGCACATATTTCAGTGGACTTCAATAAACTGAGACATCATTTGAGTCGACAAATCCTTTTTTATAGGACTAAGAAAAACGAATGGCACTGAACTTGATTTACTAACAGTCACTTTTCCCTTTCTGACCAGGAGTTCTTAGCAAGCAAATTTACCTGCCAATTTGAAAAGCATTCTATACAATGGGCTAATATCACAGATGTCTTTTTAGCAATTGCTCCAATTGCCAAAAACTATAACATCCAATTTCCTTTTAGTGCAAGAATATTAAGAGACTAAAAGAGACAGGCCTTCACTGGAGGGACAGTTTCCAGGATTGGAAAGATGAACATAAAAAAAAAGTCCTCAGTGAAGTTTAAGTTTAGAAGTGCATCCAGGGACTACTTCATAGCTTTGCCATCATTTGATTGCATCCAGAAGTAAACGTCGAATTGAAATACATAAAAACCTGAATTACTAGCAAGTTCAAGAGAAGGTGATGCTAATCTGTATCATCTGGAGAGCTGCAATGAAGCAGCCAAGCATATGAATCAAGTAGGTTATTTAATGAACACCTACAGCACTATTTTTGAGAAGGAAAAGTTCAACTCTGAATCTAACCACCTACGAAATCTTTATTTAATCAAGTACATCAAGGCTGCAAATCTCCTGAGGTTAAACACTCGGGTTTCTTCACAAACTTCTTCACTTCTGTTAAACACAGATTCTTCACCATGCCACATAACAGATCTCTTACGGATATCTACTCAGTTGGTTCATTTTATGATTAGAAGAAATTTAAGCAAACATAACAGTATACCTTCAGCTGACCTCAAGCCAGTAGCTGCTTCCCAGTCTGTTAAGCTTCAAGGTAATTAATAGATGTATGTTGGATTCAGGCTTAGAAAACAAAGACTGAACAGCAGCACTGTAAAGTGGAATACGTGGAGATTATGTTTTCAGTCATTGCCCTGGTACAGCTGGATGCTTACTGGAAGAGAATTTAGGTATGCAGTGCCAACCTATCCGATACTTTCTGCAACTAACTCTTCTCTAAAGCTCAAAATTGTACACCTTTACAATGAGCAAGTAAAAGCATATATGATGTCCACGTTATCACTGCTCAAAAAAAAATTACCCATTTCATTCTATAGAAGAGGTAAGAGTATCATCAGCTAGAGACAAAAAAAGCAAACAAGAGGTGAACTTTCACATCTGATCTCTCTACAGAATATTTTCCAATATTGCCTTCTCCTGCTTAGAATTTGAGTGTCATTAAATAACTGAGCATTACAAACAACTTTATTAATAGAAAAAAAGTAACTGTTCCTGTGATCTACTTTCTACTTTCCATTTGAACCATTCTCTACACAGTTAACATTCATTGATTAAATAGTGAAAGAATAATGGATTATTTCTACAAACACATTGAAATGCAATGACATTCAAGTAAACTCACTACAGAACTGAATGAGTTTCCTATTCTGCACAGGTCAGAGATAAGAATCTTTTTTTTTTTTTTTTTATAAGAAACATTAAAAATCTCTGGAAAACTCTAAAAATTTGGGATATTTATTACATTAAGAAGTTAGATAAAACTGCTTATTGATTTTAAAATGCATTAATTATTTAAGAAGTAAATCAACATAAGAAATGCAAAAAAAAAAAAAAAAAAAAAAAACAACCCAAAACCTAACAACTTAAAATTTATAGGATTTTAAGCTAGATTATAGCAGGGATGCCTCGATGTGCATTCCATACAGTCAATTTGGCAGACTGCTCACCACATTCAAATCATAACAATCTTTTAAGAACAAAAATAAAAGCTTTAGAGTGAATTCTGATTATGAAAATACAGTTCTTAGACAAAACTAGCATGCAATTTCAGAAGCAGACACTGACAGAAGACTCAGTTATACACAAAGAGAAACGATGATTCTTTCTGGACAGCTCCAAGGTTACACTCTTATTCTAAGGTTACCTCTACTTCACACTACAGCACAAGGAACACTTTTCATCCATAATATGTAGATATGCCACCATTTCAACTTCAGAACTAAGTCATACATGCTATATTACACAAGAAAAAAAAGAAGTTACCATTTTCTTTTCGTAATCTTGTTATAAATTTCTTGGGAGGTATAACTCCAACTTTTTTCTTCTGGGTGGCTATGCTGTGGAAGAGGTCAGCTAAGCATGTAAGGAGATTCTCTTTTTTTCTTGGTTGACTTTTGTATGCTAAGACTTTGTCTCGAAATGGACGACAAAAATAAAGTGCCTGAAGAACTGAATTGCAGTAGCATGTATTCCCAAACTATAAAAATAAGAGAGAGATTTATTAGTTTGCACTGTTACTGTGAGGGAATAACATTTAATTCAAAGCACAAAAAAATCCACATGAGCAAATTTTCTGTAAGTCATTTCTTCTTTACTTTTAAGATCACAAAACAGAAATGTGCTTTACCACAGAGTAAGAAGTATGTTGTATGCAAATATGACAACAACAAAAAAGTAGTGAATTTGATCAACGCTATAATTTTATCTTCCTGTAAATTTATTAACAGAATTATGCATTAACCCGGCTCAAAACAAATACCACCAATTTCACAGCAGCCCAGGTAAAAATAGCTATCCATATATCACATCTATTCATCTATACAAGAGTACAGAATAGGTACAGCATGACTTTATACTGTGAGAAGAGACCTTCTCAGGCACCTCAGAAATTGGTTTCTCCACGTCTTATTAGCTGTGATCAACATCAGAAGTAACTCCTTTAACCTGCTCTTATGTTTTCAGTTCTCATTTTAGGTGACAGAACTGCCTTTCTGGAGTTTTCTTAAAAGTGAACCATGGCTTATTGAGAATATGAAGCTATGTCAGAGGTATTAAGTCTCAAACAGAGGTGGGAAGGAAAAGAACTGACCATGGGCATTTTTAATGAGGTAGGTCACTGAATTGAAATGGTGCAGAGACAGCTCTAAGAGCATCCACAACTCCTTTTGTCAGAACACCGCGCATTCCTCTTCCCCTGACTTTCCAGGTCCCAGGCACAGCTTCCCTCAAGTCTTGCCATCACTGATGCTGTCTCTAACCCATCCCAATGTGACAAACTTCCCCATCACTTCTGTGAAGGCAACATGAATTGTCAGTGAAAACTCACTCATTTTATACAGCCCTCCTGCAGGAAAACCCATTATCTAACACAAAGTGACAAAATTCTTTATAAGGCTGTCAGCAAGTAATCTAACCTTTCAGCAGCAGTCACTCACACAGCAAATTGAAGCACATACCTACTACGCACCTCCTCCAACATATGAAAATAATGTTCTTATTTTTTATATGAAATATTAGCAAATAGAGGCATGAAATTATAAGAAAACTCTCCCCTTCACAATTCATTAAGAACAGGTTCTATCAACAGAGAAAAAGGACAAAAGACTTTATATCTTTGGAGTAAAAGGAAAGCTCCTCTTTTCAGCTCTCTCCCAGTTCAGTGACAAACAGGAGTACTATGCAAGTTAATCAGAAAGCTAGCAAGGACATTGTTTATGTTAAAAAATTGAAGAAAAAAAGAAATACGAAATACAGCTTATAGAACACTCAAAATGCACTGAAATAAATTAATAAAAGGACAACAAGAATTAATAAAAAGACTTTTCAATGAGTCTTTCTCCTTCTTTCTTATAGCTCCCCTTCATATTCTGAAAGGCTGTTATCAGGTCTTCATTTCTCAGATTACTTTTGTGGCCCTCCTCTGGATGCACTCCAACAGCTCCACGTCCCTCCTGTACTGAGGATTCCACATCTGGACTCCAGGTGAGGCCTCACCAACGCAGTGTACGGTCAGGATCACTCCCTCTCCCTGCTGGCCATGCTGCTGTGGATGCAGCCCAGGATATGGTTGTCTTTCTGGGCTGCGAGGGCGCACTGCTCATGTCCAGCTTGCCATCCACCAGCACTCTGAAGTCCTGTGTTCAATGCTTTCATCCCCAGCTTGTATTGACAGTGAGGGCTGACACAATCCAGGTGCACATGGCTTTGTTCAATGTCATGAGGTTCTCCTGGGCCCACTGCTTCAGCCTGCCTAGGCCTCTCTGGATGGCTGCAAGTGCTGCCTGCTTCTCAGATACTTCTCTCTCACACACCTGTGTGCCAGACAATGTGTCCCTGCTGCCTTTTGTCCTACCAATATTGCCCAGTGCTAACTGTCAATCTGTCCTCTTGGCAACATAGAGGGCCCTGAACTGGACAGAGTGCTCCAGCTTCAGCCTCACCAAAGTAGATGAGGAGGGTCTTGATTTGCTGGCTGTGCTCTCCCTAATAAAGCCAAGAATACTAATGGCCTACTTCACCTACTGTTCAACTCGGTGTCCACCAAGAACTCCAGGCCTTTTTCAAGAGTGTCACTCTCCAGCTGGGCGCCCCCAGCACATCCTGGAGCCTGGAAAAGGACCCTGCACAAAGCCTCCATGCGGTTCCTGTCAGGCCCTCTCCAGACCTGCTGAAGTTCCTCTGGATGGCTGCACAGCTCTCCAGCAAGTCAGCATTTCCCCCAGTTTCACATCATCTGTGCATTTACTGAGGGTGCATTCTATCCCATCATCCAGGTTGTTAATGAAGACATTGAACATGACTGGATCCAGTCTCTATCCCTGGGGTATTCTGTTCTTTACTGGCCTTCAACCAGACTGTGCCACTGACCGACAACCTCTAAACCCAGTCACTCAGCCAGTTCCAAATCCACCTCACCATCTGCTCATCTGGTCCATACTTCAGTCATACTTCTCTTTTAAGAGAAAATGCACTATTTCAACTTCCACGAGAATGGAAAAAATGACTAATTGAAGTCATGACAGCTGAGCTGCATCTAAGTCAGCTTATCAGTAAGACTGTTTAATGACTGTACAGCATATACCAGGATTTTAGACTCCTAGACCACGTCAGTACTAAGAACCTAGAGGCAGAGATGTGTTGTAGCAGCAGGACAGCATTACAAGTAATTAGTTTCACTACAAAAAGCAAGATGACAGATCATGTTAAATCAACCTTGTTTTTGTATGTACTTTCCAACATATCCCCAAATAAAATATTTAGTAATTAATTTCAGACAGAATCATACAATTTCTAACAAGATACATTTTCCATGGGTAACACCAGAAATTACATTTTAAATTATTCCTGAAAACCAATAATCAAATTGAACCATTTCATATGATTTTCCACACTTGCTTTCCCCTTCAGGTTCAGTATTTCTTAACATCTCAATAAAAATGGCAGATGTGAAGACTTAATATCACCAACGGTTTCACAGATTTTTTCCTGTACTGTATTTATCCACTTAAGTTGGCATATTACCAACTACAAACAGTATATTCCAAATAGCTTTTTATTTTTTTAAGTCACAGTTTAATTGCAAGAAAGGGCTTCATAATTACCCTGTAAAAAGTGAAGTGAAATAAATGATCAGCTGAATTTCAACTATTATTTCATTGAGATATTTTAACAAATATGCTGAATATTTAAATACATTTCAAAATGTATATTCAATGACTGCATCGTTCAGCTTTTTAACTACTCACTCAGGGGCAATCTTGTGATCTAACCAATCCAGCTACAACATTTCAAAGCAATAGAATTAGGAACTGAAACTTACATTAACTAAACCAAAATAGTGTTCATTGACTGGAAATTGTTCTGGACCAATCTCTTTCTCCAAAGCTGAGGCATTGGCGCCCTAGGAAATCAAAAGCAGTAAAACATTAATGTTGCAACTATGCACACAGTGAGGTTAATCAGTTGAGAAAAAAAAAATTAAGTGAGGTTTTTTTGTAAAGATAGATGCCTTTCCTCCAAAGATTTTAAGACAAGCATGTACAGCTAGGAGTGGCAGCTCACACGCACTGCAGGCATCTATAACACAGTCACAACTATGAGTCTGACCACAGCACACATGTGGGGAAACAAGCCACTCTTCAAGAACCAGATGTTTTGTCAGAACATGTGCACTGAGGTATAATTACGCATTTCACATGACATTTCAATCTTGATTCTCACATATGTATACTGTACAGTTAGTTCAGTCAAAGGCATTTATCCCCAAGCAATCATTGATTTACTTTGACTACACACACACACACACACACACACACACAAATACTGGTCACAGCTGTAGGCCTTGTTAACACCAGACCTGTAAATTTGGATCTCAGAAAAGAAATTTAGACTGGGGTTTTGCTGAACTCAGGCATGCTGAAGCAATCCCTCTAGTCAGAACATAGAAAAACAAAAAGAAATTGGAGAGAATGGATGAAACACTCTCCTGCCAGAAGCCTGAAGGGTGGAGGCAGTGGAGTTTGTGATCCAATCCATCAATCATACATGGCAAATTAACTAAGCATGTTTAATTAACCTGTTTCTTAATCCAAAGGCAAGCATACAGGCAAGATAATATTAGCCGCGAATGCAGGAAAACCAGTCCTTTGAGTTCTGTTCTCTCAGCATGTTTAGATTGGCCACAAAGCCATTTCATACAGATCCAAAAGCAGATACGTCACCCAGCAAGTCTTGTGTGCCATAACATAATACCTACATGCTTACAATAAGCGCATCTAGCACTCTCTCACCACCAGAAAGTTATTTAAATATAGTCCAAAACGCCCTAGAGATACAGGGTTCCAGATACATTCTGTTCAAAAACATCTCGAAGTTGCACCATTTTTACGTATTTTTAAATGGAATTAAACAGTTTTGGTGTACTGTGTTCATTAGTTTCAAAGTGCAGCTTCCTCAGCAGCAACCACATTAATGTAGGATCTCAAAGCAGGTGATGCAAGGCCAAACGGTGAGCTACACTCCAGGAGTGAATTCACACACTGCAACATATCTCACAAAAGTTAAGAAATGCAGACCATTCACAGAAAGCAAAGACACGGGGCTGCTCCACTTGCTGTGAAAATACAAACTACTCAGAGCATTTTTTTTTACAGACCTTGACTTCTGTAAAATTAAAGGATAGCATAGTTCAGCTAGCACTGGCCTGCAATAGAAATGCTGCAGATGCTGCCCAGCAGCTCTGTTAGTTATGATGCTCCAAGAAGTCAGACAAAGTATCTTTGGTTACCCTTTGCTTTCAACTGATGCAACTGGTGCAATGAAAAGTGGATTTCAATGCATGCAGAATTTGTTTTCATTGTTATTTAGACAGTTCTGGGCTCCCCAGTACAAAAAAGACAGGGATCTCTTGGAAAGACTCCAGCGGAGGGCCACGAAGATGGTGAAGGGCCTGGAGCATCTCCCCTATGAAGAAAGGCTGAGTGAACTGGGTCTGTTCAGCCTTGAGAAAATTAGACTGAAAGGGAACTTTATCCAGGTCTATAAATACCTAAGGTGTGGAGGACAGAGTGGCAAAGCTAGACTCTTTTCAGCAGTGTGTGGAGACAGGACAAGGGGAAATGGCCGGAAACTGCAGCACAGGAAGTTCCGCACAAACGTGCGCAAGAACTTCTTTACAGTGAGGTGACGGAGCACTGGAACAGGCTGCCCAGGGAGGTGGTGGAGTCTCCTTCTCTGGAGATGTTCAAGACCTGCCTGGATGCCTACCTGTGCGACCTGCTGTAGGGAACCTGCTTTGGCAGGGGGGTTGGACTCGATGATCTCTGGAGGTCCCTTCCAACCCCTACAATTCTGTGATTCTGTGATTCTGTGATAAAAAATTCTATTCTCTGGAACATTCAAAGAATAAACATCTTTCTGCAGGTCTTACACTGATTGCCTTTAGTGAAAATCAAATGTATCCAATCCTGTATCACTTACGTTGCATACAACATCACTCTCTGTCTACATACATACATACACACCTCCTATCAAACTAACATTTGAGCATGTTCCAGTGTGAAGTCAGGCCTAAGTAAATAAAAAAATAGCACATAGTACACAGCAAAGTATCCTAAAAACAGGTGTGACTCCTTCCCAACTGTATCTTTCCTTACATTAAAGATATAGCAAATGGCCACGGACTTTGTAGCAATAAAACTGAATCAAAATCATAAGCAGCATTAAAAACAGCTCTTAAGATTTCACAGCTGCTCTCAAATGGCAATGTTAGTGGTAAGGGATATAAGATCTCATTTGAGATTATAGCACTCCATGACTACTGAATGCCTGTATTTTTTTTTGCAGCCTTACTGAAATCCACCCCTGAGTTCTGGCAAGGTGGACATTATTTACAAACAAATCAGAAAAAAAGGAAGTGAGGAGGCCATTTATCCTATTGCTCAAATCTCTACTTCATAAAAAATACATGAATTCTAGAACAGGTTTTTAGGAAATTGTCTGTTTTTAAAGGGTGGAGTGGCTGCTTTACTCTAGCTTTGGAAGGGAGAATATTGTGATCGAGACTTTGATGTTTCTGTTTGTACAGACCAGAACATTATATTTAGATTTCTAGCACAATAAACATCTCCCTAGTAAGTAAAATATGCTAAGATATGCGTATATTAACAATACAGTTCTCTCATTATTCAAGGCTATTTCATTCAGTGTTCAGACTTTCACATGAATTTCAGAGGATGACATTACTAATTTCAATGCAGTTGTTTATGAATGTTTTATCAGTACAAACCAGCACGGATGTTTTAAACCAATACAAAACCCCACAAGCTATTCAGACTTTCCTCTACAGCTCTGCTTTTGTCTGTCATAAAGGATGTTATTCCTTCCCACAAATAAATAATTTAAACTGTGCACAGCGCGTTAGTTGCAAAGGCAGGACACAGTATGCAGCAGGAGCTTGAAAGTATGTTAAACCACACACTCACATCTGACACATAACAACTATTGTAATATCTAAGTATCCCTCCCTCTGAAAGGTTTCTTGGGAATTGTTATGGTAAGCACTATCAGCCCCAGCTGATCCTCCCATTTTGCAAATACAGATGCAGAGGGAAAGCACTGCAGTACCAACTATTGCAGTATCATAACATCTTTTGGACAAGAGGTCAGCAGAGGAGTAAAGCACAAGAAGAGTCGCACCTCGTTATATCTGCCATGAAAGACAGGAATTGGGATCAGGAGATTTTACTCAAAGACGGCTGTGACTGAGTATAAAAGCTCTTCCTCTGCCATCTAACTTGGACACGGGAAAATCCCCAAAATGATTTTCTACTTTTTGGGGTGCACTGAGCAACTCACACAATAGACACTCAGTCTCCCATAGAGCAGCTTAGCTCTGTGCAGATGAGAGATGGGAACACCAACTTCAGTTAGTACAGGAGGCTGGTTTCCCCACGTGAGCCCAGACGTGGGAACAAACAGAATCACAGCACAGTTGGGACTGGAACGGCCTCTGGGTCCGCCTGGCCTAAGCCCTGCTCCAGCAGGGGCACCCAGAGCAGGGTCACATCCAGGTGCCTTTGCAAGACCTCCAGGAAGGTGTCTCCACAGCCTCTGAATCACAGAATCACAAGGTTGGAAACGACCTGCAAGATCATCTAGTCCAACCACCCTCCCATTCCTATCAGTGCCACAAGCTACTAAACCATCTCTCGTAGCTCCTCATCCAGGCGCCTCTTGAACACTGCCAGGGACGGCAACTCCACCACCTCCCTGGGCAGCCATTCCAGTGCCTGACCACCCTTTGAGAGAAAAAGTTTCTCCTAATATCCAACCTCTGGGCAGCCTGCGTCAGTGCTCAAACTGCTGCTGCCCAGGCAGTCTGTTTCAGAGGCACAAAAACAACAAGCAGTAAAAGCTAATAACACCGTACTACTGGTATTTACCCATTTTTTGCATTGTATTCGTATCTTTGTATCACCACAGAATCACAGAATCACCCGGGTTGGAAGGGACCTCAAGGATCATGTAGTTCCAACCCCCCTGCTTAGCAGGGCCACCAAACATACACATTTAGATCAGGTTGCCCAGGACCCCATCCAACCTGGCCTTGAACACGTCCAAGGACGGGGCATCCACAACCTCCCTGGGCAGCCCGTTCCAGGGCCTAACCACTCTCCTTGTAAAGAACTTCCCCCTAACATCCAACCTAAATCTTCCCTCCTTCAACTTGGATCCATTTCCCCTAGTCCTGCTGTTGTCAGCCCTTTTGAAGAGTTTACTCCCCTCCTGGGTGTAGGTTCCCTTCAGGTATTGATAGGCTGCAATGAGGTCACCCCGCAACCTTCTCTTCTCCAGGCTGAACAAGCCCAACTCCCTCAGCCTGTCCTCATAGGGGAGGTGCTCCAGCCCCCTGATCATCTTAGTCGCCCTCCTCTGGACCCTTTCCAAAATCTCTATGTCTTTCTTGTACTGAGGGCTCCACACCTGGACACAGTACTCCAGATGGGGCCTCACAAGAGCCAAGTAGAGAGGGACAATCACCTCCCTGTCCCTGCTGACCACCCCTCTCCTGATGGAGCCCACCACCACCTATATATCATCATGTCAGCACCTATAAACACCTACACATCACCAAACACTGCTTCACATCACCCATCTTCCAAGACAGTGACAATTATACAGGCATACAGAACACTACACGCAACACAGCTTTACAGTGAAAACTTCAGCAAGTAAGGCATGTGAGAACATAATATGAAATCTTAACATGCATCTAACTTGCTGTCCTACAGTTCATCACTGGAACAGGAAGTAACACCATAACTTAACTTCATCTGAATCAGACTATGTGAAGCACTTGTTAAGAGCCCATGTGGAAAATAACACCATGATGCAATGGAT